CCCCCCCCCCCCCCCCTCTCTGTTTTTTCAAGTGTTAACCATTTTTATTGGCCCCCGGTGCCCAAGGCTTACAGCAATTCATACCAGGAGTCGATGGGTGTTCAGCCCATCACTGCAAGCAGAGCCCTGGCCCTGTTGTCCATGAAAAGAAAGGCTGGAAAAGTACTTCACTCCAACGAACAACATTGTGTATTCTGTTGTCTACTAGTAGCAGCTGCTATCTATATACGTGTATGTGAAAAAAAAAAGGGAAAAGGAAACAAGATGTTTTATGTATAGAGGTGGTACATCCTTGACAAAGATTCTTGAAAGAAATTACCAAAAGTAATACAACGAGTTGGTCTATCTATTACTCCCAACAACCTGTTGGTCCATCTATTACTACCAACGGGGGACACAAAGCCAAGTAATTAGAAAACCAAGGCACTGCTTTGGTGATAGACCCAGTTTCCCTTTCTTGTTTTTGCTCTTTTGGCGTTTGCTGGTGAATTTTTGTTTTACAATGTACAACAATTGTTTATTTTATTATGTATATGTGCATGCATGTGTAGGGTTTTTTTGAGCACTTCGTTGCTGCAGAGACCGCACAGACTGCAAGGGGGCCACTTGTCTTGTGGGCGGGTATCATGTGCCATGGACGCTTCAGCATCAGTTGGAGGCGGCGAGGCAGGTGGAGGGGAGTTAGATGAAGAGAATTGGCCCAGTAAGATGACTACATTCGACGATTTGTAATTTTGTAATCGTTGCTTTCATTCTTCTTGACAGCGAGCTTTCGAAATAAAAATAGTATTCCATTGGAACTGGTGTTTGGCCATTGGGTTCCCATGGTGCTCCGGTGGTTCTCCCTTCGATCGCTCAAAGTGTTCCTCCTCTGTATGTTTGTTTCTCAGCGTTTAGATGTTGTTAAACTCGGGTGTGTTTTTCGCCAGATTCGTATGGAAGAAGACTATCATTAATCCAAGAAATGTATGTGGCTTCAAATGTGGTTACATGAGTCTGAGGTTCTCCTGGTGTGGCCCCCTGTTGATCTTGTCCACATGCACATTCATCAGAGTTCCATATAAAGTTCTCCTCCTCCTCCTCCTCCTTTCTTCCCCCTCCCTTTTCTTCTTCTTCGTCTTTCTTCTTCTTCTTCTTCATCTTCTTCATCTTCTTCTTCTTCTTCTCCTCTTCTTCTTCTCCTCTTTTTCTTTTTCTTCTTCTTCTTCTTCTTCTTCTTCTTCTTCTTCTTCCCTCCGCAACCCGCAACCCGCATTCCCCCTCCATGTATTTTCTCCTCAACCACTCGCACTCCTATCTAAGTTTCTTTCTCTGAATGTGTGTGCAAGGAAAATGAGTGAGAACGAAATGACAGAAATCCAAATTGCAACATCACATTGAAAGCCATATAGTCGTACGCTGTCCAAAAAGCAGAAAGCACCCAGTTACACACCGTTGGAGGCCAAAGCAATGAACCCAGCTGTCAATGTCAGCCCCTTCTCGTCACCATCAACAATGTATCCAATGTCTCTTCTCCTCTCGGCGGCTACAATCACACTGTGTCTAATCTAGCCTGTACAGCGATGACGATGCGGCTGGAAACATCAGCAGCAGACCACTTGTACGTGAAGACACTGTCCATGCAGACCTCCACGGCACTCTGAGGTATGTCCTCTCTATCTCTCTCTCTCTTCCACTTTGTCTTCCCCCCAACACGCCCCCCTTCTCCCAAGGACCTCCACCATATCCCCGCTGGCATACACCGAGCTTCAGCCCGGCTATGGCTGAGCTAAGGCGCTGCGCCCAGCAGCACCACCACCTGCGCCTGTGTGCGCCCCAACCTCTCCCACTAGCGGGCCTCTTAGCGCTCACTCGAGAGAAGCACTGCTGCACAATTAGGCAAGGCCAGAATGAGCCCCTCGCTGGCTGGCACTTTCTGGCTGGCAGCCTCCCCGCTGGGCCGTGTTTCCCAGTAGCTCATGTCGGCCCAAACTATCTGCGCCCAGTCCCAAGTCAAATTCTGCCCCAGGACNGGCCCAAACTATCTGCGCCCAGTCCCAAGTCAAATTCTGCCCCAGGACCGAAGCAGTTGAGTGACCCCAACTGTACGACGTGACCTGTGTTGCTTGCTGCGTCCTCATTGGCTGGAAGTAGATGTGTGATATCGCACGCAAGGAAGGCAGCACGGCCTGAATGCAGGCCCTCGTCACACTGGGCCTCCGTAATGGACTGGCGCCCAAGAGTGTCTGGGGCCCCTCCACGATCTGAGATAGCGTTGGAAAATGCAGGCTGCCTTCATTTAGTGCGGGCACGATGGGCCCTTCAAGGAATGGAATATGTAGAAGCTCCTTTTACCATTTCTGATGGGATATATGGCTCTACATTCTTTTTAGCTACTGGATTCCATGGCTTTCATGTCATCATAGGAACCATTTTTCTTATTATCTGTTGTGTTCGTCAGTACGTGCGTCCGAGTTGGTTACCGTTGACAGAAGTGGATTGGTTACCACTTGCCCTTATGTTTGTTTCGGCGGGATCCATGAACTTCACCATAGACCGAATAGCTCGCGAGCCTTTTCCGCTCTTTTCCAACATGCTGTGGTCCCCATCGAGTGCCGAGGACAGAGATACACACACTCCCTCCTCCTTAGCTTTGAAAGTCCTCTGAGATGTTGCCATTGAGCTTTATCTTTCCCTTTTTGTCTTCTCTCGTACTCGGATATGATATAGGCACCATCTTCATCAGTTCCTATTTATAGCATAGTCGTGGCGCACCAGTGCGCAGTGCGGGGCGGGGTGGTGCGCAGTGCGCTGTGTGCTGGAATGACAGCGCGCGCACTGTGCGCTGTGCTCAGTGCGGTCCGCTGTGTGCGGTGCGCGCGTGCGCGGGCGAGAGAGAGAGAGAGAGAGAGAGAGAGAGAGAGAGAGAGAGAGAGAGAGAGAGAGAGAGAGAGAGAGAGAGAGAGAGAGAGAGAGAG